TCAATGTTTCCTATGGGAGCCATTACAGATGAAACAAACATCAATGTATACAATGTTTGCTATGGGAGACATTACAGATGAAACACACAACAATGTACAATGTTATTATATTTTACCTGTTAGCAGAATCTCCATATAAAAGTAGTCTTGTGAGTGAAAAGGGATCTTCACCAGGTTTATCATCTTCTAAACATAGTGCAAACACAGCAGAATCTATCAATTTCAATGTCTCTTTATTTCCACATTCTTCTAATTGTGCTCTATAGGATGCCCATGTATTGCGTTCTTGAGATGTTAATGCAGCTACAGGATGTTGAGGTACAGGACTTTTGTCTGAGAGGATAAACTCTAAATGTGCTTGGATTTCACTTGCAGCTACTATACCACCTGTAACAGTTAAGTATACATCAGACAAAGCATATATTCTTAATAATGATATAACAAAATTACTAATGCAAATTATCCAATGACTCTGTCATGGTATTCATTGTGTTAGTTGAGACTTTTCATAGTTTTTCTGGTAAGTGGCTTGTTATATCATTCAAAAGTATTCAAAAATAAGCTTGGCAAATAAAATACAATTATAACACACTCACGTTCTGAAGGCCTCCATGTCGCTTGATTCATTTAGACTACAAGTTTTAGGTCAAAACAATTTTATTATGACTGAGCATCATATATGGAAGACGCCACATGCAAAGCAGGATGCGTTTATGTGTTTTTAAATCACTTCTCGGTCCCATGCATTGATGTCCATACATCTTTCTCTCATTGATTTGATCATGTCAGTATTTTACATTTGTAATATGTTTGTTGTCTTCTAGGACCATTAATCTCAGATAGTGTGTATGATGTTACATACATACTACAATAAATAATCAGTTATATTAATTGTTGATGTGATTTGAAGAAAGACAGGTAGAATAAACATACCAAATGTGATAACATACAAACACTTGACTTACCTTCTTTAGTAAGCACATCGAAAGTATAAAACTGTCCATTTCTGATAACCACGATATGTCTGGCATTAACATCAGTATAAAGCTCATCTTTGTCTGTTTAGGTATTCTTGTAGAGTTAAATAGATTACTATATTGACTCATATCTAATGGAAATGCTTTATACAGGTAGGCTACATACCATGATAATGAACTTGGTACCCATCTAGTAAATAGAATATAAAGAGATAATAAAATTAGCTATCAACTTAAGATGCTACTAATTCAAGAATAGAGAAGGGTTTGTCTAACTTTAATTACTAATCATCTTGTAATTTTTAATCAGTGTTGAAATGGATATGCATAAAACGAGTGGCAGATAAGGTTCTGGCAAACATGTATGCAGTATTTCTAAGCTATCCATGCATGCCAGAGATTAGTTCAGAAATAGTTGAAATGCTTAATCATGGTGTATTTTTACCACTACTGCTATCTTGAATTAGTACTTGAACAAAGGCATATGCATGTGTGACATATAATGTGTGTACATCAGACAATGAAAGTAAATTACATGCAACATGTATGTTCCAAATTTAACAGAATCCATGTCCAGGATCCAGTTTTAGAATCGCAGAAATGATTGATTTTGGGGCATTATTAGCACTAAAATGGCTGCCATTTAACCATATTGATTCTGATTAGGAAATAAATGTATATGTACGACATGGTGTATCATGTATCCAAGATATTTGACCTTGTTCAGGCATGTCTCAGATATAGGTGTGGATTGATGGACACAAAGATGGACGGACAAAGGTTGATCTATGACTATAATTTATAAGTTTTCATTTTTGGACTTTTTTGCAGAAGATTAATATATCTTTTTTTCAGAAACCAATTTTAGGTATAGAGTTAACAAAAATCTGAAGAATCCAACAAAACCACTCATATTGCCAAATTAGAGTAGAAATCACAAACTATACACTATTTATAGTCACAGAAGTGAAAATTCTACCGGAACTTTGCAAAACATTTAAATAATCATGCAGGATAAAATTTTAGAATACATGTACCTAACTATATTCTTGAATCTCTGAGTATCACTCTTAGCTGGGTTAAGATGATAAATTTCTGGAGATAATATATTAGACCTCATAGTTTTCAAAAATCTCATCGCTGACACTATCATGTTAGTTGAACGGATCACCTGAAAATACAGCACAGTCTGAGTTTTAAACTGAGTTTTAAAATTGTTATATATTCTCAGAATATGGGAGCTCATGGGAGTAAAGCCCATATTAAATATAAGATGAATACATTTATGTCAAAATACTATTGATAGTGTAAGTGCTTTAAGAAGAATATTCATATTCACAAATACGAGACTCACATGACTATTGCAATGATGGGAGGCCAATATTGGAGCAGTTACACTGCATTTCTCATGTGTAAAGTGTGATCTTATCAATTTTATACTATTCAAAATGACTGTAGGATGCAGATACATGTACAAAGTAGTTGACAAACCATGGAACTGCTTGCCTTTATGTACTTCTTCTACAGAAGTTTGAATAAGATCTTGAACAAAGTTTGAATAAGATCTATTTGAGATGTCTGGAGGATACTTATAGATAGATGCCCAGCAGTCTATTCCCACTTTGCTTTTTTTAAAAACTGAAGATGAATACATCATTTTAAGTGATAAATGCTAGATATGGTGTTCTTAGTGAAGAAGTATGTTTTTGGAGATTAAAGAAAAGAATTGCAAACTAACCTGATGATTATATTCTGGTCTTTCATCCAACTTGAAACATATAAATGGATTATAGTTAAGTACAAGAGGATCTCTAGCTTCTAAATACATATTAAACCAATGACCTGAAAGATACAAATATGCAAAACATAAGTACACCACTCTTTTTGCTCCGGTTCCCGCTTTTTGGTCAATCATTTTTTGGTTGAAGTCTACCAGGTAATTTCTGGTTTATTTTTGGTAGTGCAAACCGGAAGTAATGCTCACCTGCTTATTCACTCACTTGCCCAACCTTCATTGACATTTAAACCACTAATACTGTGGTCTGCATTTTACATTGATTTCATTCATGTAGTTATGTCTTTCTGAATTTGAGGGGACAAGGCATAGTCTGTTTGAAGCTCTGTTTACAATCATACCTGTAGTTATATGCATGCATTCTGACC